CAGTGAGCTTAGCACACTGCCCAGCACATGGCAATGCTTAATGAATACTACTAAACAATGCCTTTCCACTCCAGTAGGTGGATTTTGTGACTAGTGATTTCAGTTTTGCTGTGACACAGGTTTTGTCTGTCCAGGTCTTCCTGTGTGCACCTTAAGCCTAAATGAGATGCAGTGAGTCAATAAAGATCTGGTAAATACCCCCAAAGTTTAGTGTTTGTAATATGTGTGTGTGTATATATATATGTGTATATATATAAACATACACAACATACATATATATGTGTATATGTGCCTGCACACATTCTTTTTTTTTTTCTTCAAAAATATACTCTGCCTTATGTTAGAGATACATACTAAAGTATTTATGTATGAAAGTATGTGATATCTTGGATTTGTTTTTAAATACTATAGCAATAAAAAGTATGTCTATGAGGAATTCATGACACAGTGGCAAATATTAACTATTGTTGAAGCTGGGTGATAGGGACTTAGAGGTGCTTTATAATATCAGTATATGAAGTTCAAAAATTTCAATAATAAAAAATGAGTTCAAATAAATTTCAGTAACAAGAAATAAAAAATAGGAGCAAAATAAGTATTTTTCAGCTATCAAAACTACTACATCAGAGGATAAGTGAATATTCTGCAAACATCTGTAAATGACTATTTACCCCAATGCTGTTACAATAGTGGACATGCAAGGAGCTTGTTCACTAGATGTTAACAGTGGTTTGTTTCTCAGGGAAATGAAATCACAGATTTTTTTTTTCTTTTTTCTTTAAACTGTTTTGTAGTATGTAAATTTTTACAGGGATAAATTTTAAATTTGGGGAAAATTATTTTTCAAAACAATATTCTGTCATTTTTCTCATGTTATTATTTTCAGGTGATGGAATGAACTGTATTTGGTCTTAAATAATTCAAAGTGGGAAAGTGATAAGCTTTTAAAACAATATAAAATCTGGAATAGATCTCATTAGATTTTAAAAATGCAGATGAAGTGTTTTAGGGTGGTGTTCTGGTTACGTAGTGCTGCTCTGACAATAAATATACCACAAATGGAATAGCCTTAACAAATAGGAGCTTATTCTTACAATTTGGAGGCTTTGAGTACAAATTCAAAGTCCCAGGCTCTAGGGCCTGGGTGAAAGCCCCTCAGTCTTGGGGTCCAGCTCCGCCTCCTGCTCCTGGGCCACTGGAGCTAGAGGCGTTTCTTCACTCAGCTACTGGCTGCTGAGGCTGAGAAGTCCCAAGGTTGACAAGTATAAAGGCACAGTCTTGATGTTACCAAACCACATGGTAGGCCATTAACTTTGTTGTTGTTGTTGTTGTTATGTGCTGTCGAGTCGGCCCCGACTCATAGCGACCCCTCCTTGGGTTTCCGAGGCAGTATCACTACGGAAGTAGGATTGCCTAACCTTCCTTCCGAGGAGTGTCTGGTGGGTTTGAACCGCCAGCCATTAACTTTAGTCCATTTTAAGTCCCAAGGTCGGCAGAGCACGGCAGGCTGCTGAGCAATGGCACGACTACATGCAGGGTCCAAGCGTGCCAAAGGCTAGAGGCTTCTCCTTATATGCAGGAAGCAGACCACATCCCAAAGGCAGCTACTCAGCTGCTTGTGGTAGATCTCACCATGGAGTTGATTGCCAGTGTCATCATGTGGAATAACCACCACCAGCTGCCCAGCCACTCAACCAGGCCCAGCCACGTTGACACACTAACAAAACCATGACAGATGGGCTAGCACATATATATGTTTGCTCACTGATCCAGTGAATGCATTAAAAGGAAGATGACCACAGTGTTAACATGCTCAGAACAGACTGAAGGGCCATCAGCTCACTCCCATTGGGCTGAAACAGCACTCGGACGGGAAACGAAGAAAGGGTTTTCCATTTTGAGCATAAAGAATATAAACTGAAAGGATTCCAAGAGCTCTGTGCAAACAAGCTCCTATAGATATTTTAGTAGTAAGTTAGTTCTACATCAGACAGCAGAGGGGAGTACGACGTGGAGGAGAAGAGATGGCAGAACAGCGCTAGACGCAAACCCCGGAAATCGATCCCTGTGAATTCAGTGCCATGGGCGCAGCCTTGTGAGCTAATCTCAAGTTTAAGTTTAGGCAGCAACACAGCACTCTTGGAGGATTGTTTTAATTTAGTGATTAAGCTTTGAAACATCATTTTAGGTTTATTATCTTGGGCAAGAGTCCCCCAAAGCAGGTGTCCCAGTGGCTGTCAGAATCTTTGGTCTCCCCTCCTCCTTTCCTAGTCTGCACCAAGTATCAGAGCTGCACCACTCTCTACCTCCCCTCTGCATGCTTTTCTACCCAAAACAGCACTGTGTCACTGTACAGGCCCTACTCACAGGTTTCTGCTTCCTCTTCCTTACTGACTTTAAGGCTTCTAGGAATCTAAAAGTCACTCCGTCTTACCAAGAGGCTGGGAATCCCTACACTTGGCAATCTCAATTTGGATAATGTAAAGAAAAATCAAAGATACCATTTCAGTTACCTGGTGATATTTTCTTCTTCCACATCCATGTTCTAAGCTTTAGGAAGGATGACAGATTTCTTAGGTTTTGGATATTCCAGGTTATGTACCTGTAATCAGATCAAAGAACAGTTTGTTACAAATTAACTGTATATGCTTCCAGTTTTATTAGAGGAGACGTTTTGTTTCTTGATTACTCATCTCCACATGATCATGGGAACTCCATATAAATCCTTACTTACAGGATTAAAGGTTTAGCACCAGATGAGTATCTGCAGTATACCCCTCAGATGATGATAATGGTTTTTTACCTGGCTCCTGGTAGAACTGGACTGCCCAGAATGAAGGCTAGTATTGGAATAATGCTTGCTTGAAGTTCCTGGAAATTCCTGACATGACTTTCTTTTCAATCTGTGGGCTGTTCGGCTCGCCATCAATCTATGGACATTTATGTCAACTTCTTTAGTCTGATTTACTGACTGTTGCAGTAGTTGTTGAGGTTTTTCTGTTTCTGTGTCTGATTCAAAAATGCATGGTTGTCTTTTCATTTTTACTGACCCATGGCCTGGCCCGAAAATTTGCGTTATATATTTACTTGTTAAATTTTCTTCCTCCTTCACCTGCAAGTCAGCAACCCTTTTTACTGCACTTGAACTGTTTCGGGACATACGAAATACTGAGTTATCAAATAGTTGTTTACTGTTATTGACCTTCTCAATCAAGGATTTTCCATTAGAAGGGGGATATCGCGTCACATTTGCACAGGGCTTGGTATTTTTCTTTTGCAGAGACCTGGAATTCTTCATATTGAAATTTCCAGTGTGGATCTGAATGTTACTATTAGATCTTTTCTTTGCTGCTGAGCCTAAATTGGCTTTGTTGTCCTGGATCGTGACAGTTTTAGGTGAAAGCAACTTGGATTCTGTAACACTGCACTGTTTCCTTTTCAGATTGCCAGATTCTGGGGTATTTTTGTTCGTCTGTAATAATCTAGTTTTGAAAGTTGGTATGAACTTGGGGGTGATTTCACTTCGAGGTCTAAGGTGTGTGTCCTGAACCCAAGTATCTCTTCGGCTGGGCTCTGGAGCATCCAGACGCATGTGTGGTGCCTTGTAGGGCAGGGACAGCTGTCTGTTCTGAACAGACTCTGGCTGCAGACACTGAGCTGGGGGGAGGCTTGGCTTCAGCTGGCTGACGGAAAGCGCCACCCTGTGGTCCACTGCTACTGCATGTGAACGTGGTTGGAGGTTCCAGGCCAAGGCAGGTTTTGTGGTAGTGGGTTGAGTCAGAGCAGCCCTGGATGTTTTTTTAGTGGTCAAATTAGATGGCTTGATTCTGTTTTCCTGAAAGGATAGAGATTAGGAAAATTTTTAAAAGCATAGTAAGACTTTATATTCTTATTTAATACCATCTCATTTCTATCCCATTAAAGTTAACACTATGGTATACAAGACAAATGAAGAAAAACTAAAAATAAACGAGCTTCTTGAAACATGTACAGTTCTAGCGGTTCTCATCCTTCTCTAAACACCTTTTTGAGATACTGTTGTAAGATGAAGGTCTGAGTTCTGATAAATCGAGAAGTCCTACTGCAGACAGCTACCCGCTGCCCTCAACACGCTCTGCACGTTCTTTCGTGGAACGGCTCCCTCTCTTCTCACCTTCCTACGCTGCAGCCTTCCTCTAGGCTCGATAACACCCAGCCTTCTCTGAATCCCCCACCAATCAACCTACCATAAAATGATTGGTTTTCCCTCAACTCCCAATGAATCTGCCCTAAGTACAACGTCGTGCTGCTGTCTTTTGCACCTGTGCTCCAGCTCCCTAAGCAGACAGCAGCTTCTTTGAGGACAGGAGCCATGACATTAATTCTTACATCCTTTGCACTAAATTCTCCAAAAACACTTGTTGAAATAAATTCATGGAGGTGGTGGCTGCATGTGCACTTGGTCTTCAAGAGTGAGTGGGATTTTGATTGTAGGTTGGGGGCTGTTTCTTAAGCATCTTTGTGTCTTCAGTAAAATGCAACAAAACAACAAAATGAAAGCATATTTGGAGCTGCTGAGTCAATTCCAACACATGGAGGTAGCAATTCAGGAAGTGTTAGTCAAACTGACTTGTCAGATACATCTAAAAGAGTCAACTGTTTGCAGTCTTTTAAAATAATCATCTGTTGAGTCCTAATGTCTATATGAGAATGACAGATGGTGACAATCTGGGACACTGGAACAAAAGAGCTCTGTCCTTGCCCTCCTACATCAAATTGACAGAGTCACAGCCTGAAATACCATTTTAATAACTCCTATGGTAACATAGTAGCGTAGTGCCTAAGGCACTTGACCGCTAACCAGAAGGCTGGCGGTTCAAACCCACCAGCCACTCCTCGGAAGGAAGATGGGGCAATCTACTTCCGTAGTGATACTGCCTCGGAAACCCAAGGAGGGGTCGTATGAGTCGGGTCCAACTCGACAGCACATAACAACAACAAGTAACATGGGGACCAGAATAACTGTTTGCTTCTCCATACCAGAAGCTGGGTTGTAAGGTAAAGATGAGAGGAGAGTTTGAGGAGATCCGAATTAGAAGCATTTCCACAGGTCTCTGAGGGTGTGGTCAGTCAAAAAGGTCAGAGGAAAAGAAAGACAGTGATCTAGTTATCTGTTACACAGAAGAAATAATTGCCAAACTCAGTGGCTTCTCACAACGATGATCATTCTCTCATTCTCTCTTACAATGCTGTCAGCAACTGGCACTGGGTCACCCTCCTCATGCACATTTGCAATAGTGATGCTGGCTGTCACCCAACGACAGTCCTGTCATGTTGCCGGAATCCCTCACAGCACCAGCATGTGTTCTGAGGAGAGACCAGGTAGAAGCCATTTCTCTTCTGATAATAAGCTTCCAAAGTCATAGAGCAACAGTTTAACCACAGGTCTCCCCAGATCTGAGAGGCAGGGACTCAGGCCCACATCTCATGGGAGGTGCTGTCACCATGTGAGAAGTCACAGAGTGTAACTTCTGCAGAGGCCTGAGAGGCAGAGACAGGCCTTCCTCTCATGGAGGCACTGTCACACCGTGAGAAGAGCAGGTGGCTGGGGAGTTCTGTGGCACTCGGCAGACAGTGGCTGTCAGAGGGCAGTCCATCTCCTCCAGGAACCAGAGTCTCTCATCCTTCATGCCTCCAACACCAGCACTGCAGTGTCCTGTGTGCTTGGCAATGGAGCACACAGAGCAGACTGCGGAGAAGCAGAGAGGAGCAGGCAGGAGTTGGAGGGTGGGGGCTGTGGTAGTTATGTTTGTGTGTCAGCTTGGCTGGGTCTGGTTGAGTAGCTGGGCAGCTGGTGGTAATTATTCCCCATGATGAGACTGGCAATCACCTTCATGGTGGGATCTACCACAAGCAGCTGAGTAGCTGCCTTTTGGATGTGGTCTGCTTCCTGTATATAAGAAGCAGCCTTGGGAATGGTCTCTAGCTCATGGCACGCTTGGACCCTGCATGTAGCCATCTCATTGTTGTTCAGCAGCCTGCTATGCTCTGCTGACCTTGCGACTTCAATGGACTTGAATGAATGGCCTGCCATGTGGTTTGGTAACATCAGGACTGTGCCCTTTTACTTGTCCACTTTGACTTTCTCAGCCTCAGCAGCCAGCAGCTGTCTGAGTGAAGAAACGCCTCTAGCTCCAGTGGGCCGGGAGCAGGAGGCAGAGCTGGACCTCAAGATTGAGGGGCTTTCACTCAGCTCCTAGAGCGTGGCACTTTGAACTTGGCCTTAAAGCCTCTAAATTGTAAGAATAAACTCCTGTTTGTTAAGGCCATCCCATTGGTGGTATATTCTTGTCAGAGCAGCACTAGGGAACCAGAGCAGGAGCCCTCACACAGATCTTCTAAGCACACATATGGCTCTTGCTTCCTCTTCATGTGCAGTTTTCCTGGTGGCCACCCTGAGCCGGATGATGGAGACAAGGGAATTCAGGGAAGCATGCTCCATCCTACAAGTGGACACAGCCCTAAATCACCAGAGAGACCAGGCTGCTTGCCTCACCTGGCCTATTTCTGGGAGAAATGGGGAGTCAAGACAATCATGGGTGAGGTTGGGGGTCAAACAGGAGAGTGGGTTCACCTCCTGTCTGGAGATTTCTCAGGATGGAGCTTATCCATGCAGTGGGGCAAGAAGACACGCCCCTTCAGTCCCCATGACTTTCAGGGGCACACCTGAGGGACAGGAGCAGGCTCCCAGCCTCTGATGATTCTCAGCTGAATGAAAAGATGCCAAGAAGGGGTGTGGCACACACTTCAGGGGACAGTGAAGAAGGGCAGCGGTTCCATACCAGGGAGCTATGGTAGCTCCAAACGCTGTCTGTGGAAGCCTTACACACCATCTGTGTCAACACATGGCACAGCAGAGACCACCCCTCCAGAGCAACTGCATTAGGGTGCAAATGGCCCCCCATATCCTCTACTGCCCACCTCCGACTGTGCAAGGTTATAGAGGGGTGGTGTTTCCACAGTTCTCTGTGGATGCAGTCAGTCAAGCATCTCAAGAGGAGATCATCTGGGACTATGGCTGGGCTCTGAGTCCGGTAACTTGTCTCCTCATGAGAGCAAGAAAAAAGGGGCCTGAGACACAGATGCAGGGACAGGAGGGAGGGCCACGCTGGAGGCTGTAGTAGTTAAGATTATGTACCAACTTGGTCGGGCCTGGTTTTGAGTGGCTGGGCCTGGTTGAGTGGCTGGGCAGCTGGATGTCATATTCCCCATAAGACTGGTAATCAACTCCTTGATGGAATATACTGGAGTACCTGAGTAGCTGCCTTAGGGATGTGGTCTGCTTCCAGTACATAAGCAGCAGCATTGAGAAAGGTCTCTTGAGCTTTTTGGAACACCTGGACCCTGCATGTAGCTGAGTCTTCATTCAGCAGCCTGCCATGCTTCCTGTCAATCTTGGGACTGTCTCTGGACTTGAATTAGTAGCCTGCAATGTTGTTTGGTAATTTTGGGACTGTGCCATTGTTATTTGTCAACCTTGGGTTTGTCAGCCTCAGCAGCCAGCAGCTGCCTGGGTAAAGAGATGACTCCAGCGCCAATGGGCTGGGAGCAAGAGGCAGAGCTGAAGCCCAAGGCTGAGGGGCTTTCATCCAGGCTCTAGAGCTTGCACTCTGAACTTGGACTTCTAGCCTCCCGAACTCGAAGAGAATAAATCAGTTTGTTGAGCCCCCCATTTGTGGTATGTTCTGTTAGAGTGGCACCAGAGGACCAAAACAGAGGGAGAGACAGGGGTGATGCTGCCATAGCCCAGGATACAGGAGCCACTGGAAACCAGACGAGGTGATGAAGGGTCCTCCTGCTGAGCTCTGGAGAGTGCAGCTCTGCCCACAGTCTGGATTCAGACTTCTGCTTTCCAGAACTGTGTAAGGTAAGACTCCGGTTCCTTTATGCTCCCAAGTTTGGGGTTATTTGCTGCGGCAATTCCAAGAAAGAGCATACCTCTATACCACCCTCCTTCTAGTATCCTTCCTGCACTTGAGTTGTTGTTATGTTGTCAGGTGCCATCGAGTTGGCTCCGACTCACAGTGACCCTATGTACAACAGAACAAAACAGTGGCCATTTCTGTACCAGCCTCACAATGCTTGCTATACCCGAGGCCACTGTTGCAGCCACTGTGTCATTCCATCTTGTTGAGGGCTTTCCCCTTTTTCAATGACCCTTCACTTTACCAAACATGATATCCTTCTCCAGGGAATGGTCCCTTCTCACAACATGACCAAAGTAGGTGAGACGAAGTCTGGCCATTATTGCTTCTGAGGAGCATTCCGGCTGCACTTTTTCCAAGATAGATCTGTTAGTTCTTCTGGCAGTCCATGAACTTTCAGTATTCTTTGCCAACACAACACAAAAGCACCAACTCTTCTTTGGTCTTCCTTATTCACCGTTCACCTTTCACATGCATGTGATGCCATTGAAAACACCATGTCTTGGGTTAGCCCCACCTTAGTCTTCAAGAGACATCTTTGCTCTTTAGCACTGCAAAAGCATTTGACTGTATGGATCATAACAAATTATGGAAAACACTGAAAAGAATGGGAATTCCAGAACACTTAATTGTCTTTTGCAGCAGATTTGCCTAGTGCAATATGACATCTGATTTCTTGACTGCTGCTTCCATGGGTGTTGACTGTGGATCCAAGTAACAGGAAATCTTTGACAACTTCAACCTTTTCTCCATTTATCATGATGCTGCTTATAGGTCCAGTTGGGAGGATTTTTGTTTTCTTTATGTTGAAGTGTAATCCATACTGCAGACTGTAGTCTTTGATCTTCATCAGTAAGTGCTTCAAGTCATCTTCACTTCCAGCAAGCAAGGCTGTGTCATCTGCATATCACAGGTTGTTAATAAGTCTTCCTCCAATCCTGATGCCATGTTCTTCTTCATATAGTCCAGCTTCTCAAAGTATTTGCTCAGCATACAGATTAAGTATGGTAAAAGGATATAACTCTTACACACTCCCTTTCTGATTTTAAACCTTGTAGTATCCCCTGGTTCTGTTCAAACGACAGCTTCCTGGTCTATGTACAGGTTCCTCATGAGTACAATTAAATGTTCTGGAATTCCCATTCTTTTCAAAGTTTTCCATAATTTATTATGATCCACACAAATGCTTTTGCATAGTCAATAAAACACCAGTAAACATTTTTCTAGTATTCTTTGCTTTCAGCCAAGATCCATCTGACATCAGCAATGATATTCCTTGTTCCAAGTATTCTTCTGAATCCAGCTTGTGTTTCTGGAAGTTCCCTGTCAATACACCACGGCAACTGTTTTTTAATTATCTTCACCAAGACTTCACTTGTGTGTGGTATCAATGATATTGTTAATTTCCACATTCTGTGGGATCATCTTTTTTTTTTTTGGAACGGGTACAAATATGGATCTCTTCCAGTTGGCTAGGTAGCTGTCTTCCATATTTCGTGGGATAGACCAGTGAGTGCCTTCAGCACAGTACCCGTTTGTTGAAACATCTCAGTGGGTATTCCATGAATTTCTGGAGCCTTATTTTTTGCCAATTCCTTCAGGGCAGTTTCAACTTCTTCCTTCAATACCATTGGTCCTTGATCATATGCCACCTCCTAAAACAGAAGAACTCTGGTAGCATAGTGCCTAAGGCACTTGACTGCTAACCAGAAGGCTGACAGTTCAAACCCACCAGCCACTCCTCGGAAGGAAGATGGGGCAATCTACTTCCGTAGTGATACTGCCTTGGAAACCCAAGGAGGGGTCACTATGAGTCGGGTCCGACTCGACGGTACATAACAACAACAACAAAACGGAAGAACATCAACCAATTCTTTTTGGTACAGTGACTCTGTATTCCTTCCATCTTTCTCTTGATGTTTCCTGCATCATTCGATATTTTGCCCATAGAATCTTTCAATATTACAACTTGATGCTTGAATTTTTTCTTCACTTCTTTCAGCTTGAGAAATGCTGTGTTCTTCCCTTTTGTTTTTCTAATTCCAGGTCTCTTCACATTTTATAACTGACTTTCTCTTCTTGAGCTGCTCTTTGAGATCTTCTATTCAGCTCTTTTATCTTGTAATTTCTTCCATTTGCTTTAGCTACTCTCCATTCATGTTAATGTAACTTAGTTGATCTTTAATTTCCACATTTTACACACAATTTATACAACTCTCTATGGTAACTTAAAATTATAGAGGAACACCAAAAGCTTTGATTCATATTTAGAGATCAGTGGATATTTAATAGAAACCTAATGCCAGGATTCCATGAAACTGGGGAAATGGTCAAAATGATTGATTAATTGTGTTCCTCTATCATGATGGTTCTGGGCTTCATAGCACCTCTGAGATGTTCATGCTTAAAGGTTGAACCATATATAATTCAATTAAGCATAGATCTAACCACAGGTTTACAGGGAATGTGGGGTTTAGAAGAACAAGTTAAGTTTAAATGACATGACACTGTAAGAAAGCAATCAGTCAGATCCAGAATATGGGAGATTTTCAGCTCAAACGATCCAGGTTTCCCAGCAAATAACTGGTATAAATAAAGGGGGGTGGGGCGGAATATTATAGAATAAAAAAGACTTGTTTTGTTTTCTTTAGACAAGGAATCTCATTCTGTGAGTGTGAAGAAAGACTATTCAACTTTCTCATCTATATTTCTTGTTATTTGTTCTTATTTTTTCCACAGATAAGAGTTCACTCAACTTATTATCCTAAAATGAAAGTGTTACTGAAGTAATTCAGTTTGTATACATGCAATTACTCGAGGGCATTTTCAACCAATCAGATGCAAATGAAGTAGCAGAAGTTCAAGGTAAACTTGGATATGTATGAGGCAAACATTTCCAAACTAGGCTGAGATCATGTATTGTTCATCCACTGATAAACTTGCATTTATTAATTAACATGTATTAAGCACAAAGCATTAGAGATCAGAAGAAGATGGGTATCGATGCCCTCCAGGAGAACCCACTCAATCAGAAGAGACAGACCCATAATTTACTCCTACTATACTACCATATCAACACTATACAAACAGATGCAGGGACAAATGGTCAGCTATAACAACAATAACAAACAGTGTTAGGGAAATACTGAACTGAAGAAACGAGTTACAGCACTGTGTGAGGTACAGGATAAGCAGATACACAGGTCAGAAATCTCTTACCTGTATCAAAGGTTTCGTCAGTTCCTGTGTGTAATAGCATGGTTTATTTGTCATCTTTATGGCAAATCCACATATGTGGGGGAGTTTAGACTTCAAATCTGAAAGAAAACTTCTCAGTACACCTTCTAAATTCACTCTTGGAAAAAACTGTATGGGCTGGCTTCTAATGCAACTGAGAGGGTATCTGAATAGTGTTAAAGAACAATGCACAACTTTTTTGTACAGAAGAGAAATTTTAAAACTTAAAAAAATTAACAAATTTTAAAAAGACACAAAAAGTAAGTCTTTTATTTTGCTTATTCTGTGCCGTCCAGAGCTGAAAAGCATGTTTTCTCATAGGGATTTTATTTCCTTCTAGTTTAGTACCTACAATCAAGACAACTCATTTTGTCTTTATTATCTGTCTTTCTAAACAAGCTGGCAAATGATGCTATTGCAAAAACCATAAACTAAGTACTATGAGCCTTATTACCCATTGCTATGGAGCTGGTTCCAACTCACAGAGACCCTGTAGGACAGAGTAGAACTGCCCTGTATGGTTCCCAAAGCTGTAATCTTTTTTTTTTTTTTTTTTTAACTTCTTGATTTAGGTAAAGGTTTACAGAACACACTGGTTTTCCAGTCAACAATTCATACACATTTTGTTTCATTGATTGTAAACCCCACAATGTAACAGCACTCTTCCCACTTTCTCCCTATATTTTGTTTCCATTCATCCTTCTTTCCTGTCCCTTCCTTCTGTCTGAGCTTTATCCCTGGCAATGCTGTCTTTTTGATCTCATACGTTTGTTTTAAGGAGTGCATGCTTCGCTGGTGTCGCTGTTCACCTTAGAGATGGGTCCACTGTCTGCCTGAAAGTTGAGCCATGAGAGTGAGTTCAGTTTCAGGCTTGAATGGTGATTAAGGGCCACAGTGTTGGGGGTTCTACCAGTCTCTATCTGACCAGTGAGCCTGGTAATTTTTTATGATTTTGAGTTTTGTTCCATGTTTTTTTCCCAATCTATCCAAGACCTTCTAATGTGATCCCTTTCAGAGAGGTCAGTGGTAGTAGTAGCTGGACACCATCTAGTTCTGGCCTCAGGGTCATGGAGGCTGAGGTCTGCATGGTCCATTAGTCCTTTGGACTAATTGTTTCCATACATCTTTAATTTCCTTCACTCTTCTTTTGCTCTGGATAAGGAGAGACCAACAGTTTCACCTTAGCAAGGCTGTAATCTTTATGGAAGCAGACTGTTTTGGTTCCCTAGTGCCACTCTGGGAGCATAGTGCCTAAGGCACTTGACTGCTAACCAGAAGGCTGGCGGTTCAAACCCACCAGCCACTCCTCGGAAGGAAGGTTGGGCATTCCTACTTCCGTAGTGATACCGACTCGGAAACCCAAGGAGGGGTCGCTATGAGTCGGGGCCGACTCGATGGCAAATAACAACAACAACAACAAGTGCCACTCTGACAGGAATAGAACACAAATTGGAATGGCTTAAACAAACAGGAGTTTATTCTCTTACAGTTTGGAGGTATTAAGTCTGAGTTCAAAGGGCCAGGCTCTAGGGACTGGGTGAAAGCCTCTCAACCTTGGGCTTTAGCTCTGCCTCCTGCTCCCGGCCTACTGAAGCTGGAGGCTTTTCTTCACTCAGACAGCTGCTGGCTGCTGAGGCTGACAAGCCCAGGGTTAACAAGTAAAAAAGCACAGTCCCAATGTTACCAAACCACACAGCAGACCATTGATTCAAGTCCAGATGAAATCCTAAGATCAGCAGGGCATGGCAGGCTGTTGAACAACAACTTGACTACATGCAGGGTACAAGTGGGCCAAAGGCTAGTGTTCCCAAGGATTCTGCTTACATACAGGAAGCAGACCATATCCCACGGCAGCTACTCAGCTGCTCACAGTAGATTCCACCAAGGAGTGGATTACCAGTCTCATCATGGGGAATACTACATCCAGCTGCCCAGCCACTCAACCAGGCCCAGCCAAGTTGACACACAAACTTAACTACCATACAGACTGTCATATTTTCCTCCAGGGAGTGGCTGCTAGGTTTGACCTGCTGAGCTTTTGGTTAGCAGCCAAGTGCTTAACCACTGTGCCACCAGAGCTCATATTAGCCTCACAGACTATCATTAAAATAAATGTTTATAGTAGACAATTAACAGGTTGCATCTCCAAAAGCAGGAAAACACTAGGCCCAGAGAAACTGCACCCATAGATGGCATTCAGGCTGCAGAAGCAGTTCTCTGAGGAAAGCAGTCACTTGTTCTGATGAAAACCATGCTAAAGACTTGGAATAACATCATGGCTTCTAATTAAAGGTAGGAATTGATAGAAGCCAACCTCAGTTTCACTGTTCCCATCTGTATTAGAAATCGCAGAACGCAGAAAGAAAAGCTGGGGTTCTTTGCTGCTGAACTCCAGCTGGTCAGAAGCCACACTGCTGAAACTCACCTTGGCCCTTGTGCCCTCTGCACAGATCATTACAAATAAAGTGCTGCGAGGTTATTTTCTTAAACAAGTGAGTTACAGTGAGTGCAAGACAAGTTCTCTACACTGCCTATAAAACTAACTTTGTCAAGTGACTTTCAAATAGATACTTTCATTATATCCGACATACCACTAGAGGGAGCACTTAGCTAAGGAGAATCTCATGGTTGGGTCTTCTCTCTACTGGAACACACTGTTCCATCTTCTGCTGTTTAAATTGTTGAAACAGTGTGTTTAGAGGAAAACCTATCTTTTTTAAACTCATCCTCAAATAGAAATAGGGAAAAATCCTAAACAAAATAATTTAAAAAAAAAAAAAAGGTCAAAATGTACTTTCATTAAGATATAGAGAAGGTTGAAAGTGCTAATGGTGGGGAGACTGGGGAGTTAAAGCAGGTAGAGCGCCTCTGTCACAACTGATCACACAAAGGATACGTGAAGACTCTTTCTCCAATCATTCTGAAGTAGACACTGCAATATATTTTAATATTTGCATAATCTTCTGGAAGTTTATAGCCATACTGAAAATGAAGCACAAAGTTGAGATCATCTTGAGAGGCAGGTAAGCTTAAGTTGGCATATGAGAAATAAAATCTAGTAACTTGTAAAGTCATGTATGTTCCTCTTGCTTACCAGGTCCTTCCAGTGAATCTGGAAATCTCTGTAGGAGTGAAAAGGACACTCAGGGGGTGGCGTGTAAAGAATACTTATTATCTGTCCCATTTTCATGCTGTGAAAAAAGAAAAGAAGGTGAATATTAAGAGCTCATGCTTAACTGAAAGCTGAGGAGTTAACTCTGTGAATCAAAGTGTTCAAAAAAACCTAACAACTATCTCACTATAAATATACACTAGTAATGAACTCACCATGCGCTCCTAGTTCCAAACACACATTTTAGTAAACCTCAACAACTAAGATTATAAGGGAAATCTAAATTGAGTTAGAAAATTTAAAACACGGAAAGAGAAAAACAATGGCTATGAAAGGAAAAGAACACAAACTAACTAAGAAAACGTTGACACACAAGGGTATGCCTGGTAATTGTCTGACTTTAGAGAAAGGCATGTAAGGGTTGACTCTGTCAGCCAAATCTGTTCCCACCCACCTCCCTTGCCTCACCTGTGCTGCCGGTTAAGGAGCTCTTGGGGTGCAGTGCCCAAGGCATGTGACTGCTAACCAGAAGGCTGGCAGTTCAAACCCACCAGCCACTCTGAGGAAGAAAGACTGGGCAGTCTTTTTCTGTAAAGATTTACCACCTTGGAAACCCAAAGGGGGTTGCTATGAGTTGGAATCAACTCAATGGCAGTGAATTTGGTTTTTTGTTTGATTTATGCTGCCAGTTAATCAGACTTCTTTTCCTAAACCAAAAAAACCAAACACACTGCCCTCAAGTCAGAGCCAGACTCATAGAGACCCCTCCTTGGGTTTCCAAGACTGTATCACTACAGAAGTAGAGCACCCAACCTTCCTTCCGAGGAGTGGCTGGGGGGTTTGAATGGCCAGCCTTCTGGTTAGCAGTCAAACGCCTTAGGCACTACACCACCAGAGCTTCCATCCTAATTGTCTGTTTATAAAAATAACAAACCTTTTCCCCTAAGATAGTACAAACTTAAAACTCAGTTCATCTCAAATTATATCAAATCACCAACTACTAGGTACAAGTGAATAAGGTTTCACTGATGTTATTATGAGAGTTGTCATTTCATAATGAGAAATCTAGAAATCTTACTGCTTCTTGAAACCAGATCTAAATATATACATATATATAATGCAATAAATTATTTTTGTAATTTGCTAAAGGCAGTGGATAACATCTGTAAGGATGACAAATATTATCTGAAGTTTTTTTTTCCCTTACCTTCTTTAAGCAGTAATTCTGTTTCAGAAATTCCCCTACATCATTTATAGTTTTGCACATATCAGTTTTAAAGGAGACAAAATAAGAGGAAATGGCTCTATTTTGAACCTGCCCTAGGACTGCAAGTTGAAGTCTCACCTTGGTAAAACATAGCACCAGTTGTTTAAAATGGAATGTCTGTCAATGACGGTGTTCTTGTCAGTTTCAAAGTTCTTCATAACATTCTCGGGAATATCAAATTCTCTTAGCTTTTAATAAAAATAAAGATTTTAATGCATAAGTTCTCAAAAGAACTTGGCAAAGAAAAAGAGACATTACAATATTTGTTTTATGTATTACGTCTATTTCTATACACACCACATGGTTGGTTATAATGCAGCTTTAAAATGGAACGATTCCTGCATAACCATTTGACATTATGCAGTCAGTGTGGCAGCTCACCTAGTTCTGTACACAGCACAGGAAGCAGTTCATGCTCTTCTCTTAGCCTCCAAACTAAAACTTTTGTTTTGTGCGTATTTTAACCACTTCTCAGTTTCTCTGATTGTGTTAATATACAAGAAGTTGAATCCCTTCCAAGGTAACGGGCTTACACATGTAAGCACCTGCATCTTAACCCAAACCAACCCCTTTCCCTAGAGGGGGAGTAAGGAACAACTTCTGGTGGAGTGAGCAGAGCCAAGGCCTCCCTGTCCACCCTTGCTCCCTAGGTGCCTTCCCCGGAGAGCATGGAGGCTGTGCCAACAACAGTTTGCTGTTTACAGTTTACTCGCCCTGCTAAGTCTCCCAGGAGGCATATCTTATATTAAGTCGAAGATCTAGAGAAACCTGCAGTGAGGTAAGAAAGAAAGAAACACTGGTGAGCGGACTCTGCCGCCTCTTTTCTAACCTATCACTGTAGCAGCTTTTGGAAAACAATCCTCTAACTTTACTGCCTATTACTTTTCAAGGCTCTAAAAAACCAAACCAAACCCACTGCCAAGGAGACAATTCTGACTCACAGAGCCCCTGTAGCAGAGAGTGGAACTGCCCTACAGGGTTTCTAAAGTTGTCAATCTTTACCGAAGCAGACTGCCTCATCGTTTGGCGTGTTTGAACTGCCAAACTTTTGGTTAGCAGTTAAATGCTTTAAGCACTGCACCATCAGAGCTCCTTTTAAGGTGCTCTAGCATGAGTTAAATTGGCCAACTATTTACTACCTGGACAAGCCCTGAGCATCCTAACTCTACAATTGCTTAAAGCATCACCCACTCAGTTCACTCAAGACCTACTCAGAAAAGCCTTCCAGGCCTACTCTAAGTCCAATGACTGGCTTTCCTCTCCCACAGCATTTGTGAAAACTAAAGGACGCAGGAAGCAGAAGAGCAGGAAACCACGACTGTTGGAGGCAGTAAGATGTGTGCTGTGGGGAGAGGTGAGAGAACAAGGCCACGCTGAGTGAAGAGGGCACAGCCTGCCCTGTGCGCAGGTCAATCTTGGCCTGTGACGCACAGCACTGAAGAGGACACTGCTGTGTGATGAGGAAAAGCGGATGGTTCAGTGGGCCACGGCCACAGGAGGTCTGGCTGCAGGTGGGTGAGGAGGCTATTTGCTGGAACACAGCCTAAGTGGGCTTCAGGGAGGCAGGTGCCAGGTTGGGGTGTCAGTAGCTGATGGCTCTCACACAACCTCCTTTCAGGGCTATGGGCTATACTTTCCGAGTGTGTCCTACACTATTCAAGCACTCCTGTCAACTGCTGCAGGCTTCTCCATAGCTCGTCAACACAGATTATTCTAAGATTGGCTAGCTGTCTAACTATACACCTCGGTGGCAGCAAACTCTAGAACCGAGCTCGTATTCTTTAACATGTACTTATAAAGTACCCCCTGTGAGGAAGACCATACTGATAAGCAGGTACCCAATAAATATTACTTTTCCCTTTAAAATGCCAATCTAAAGAATCTGAATTTTATTTTCTCTTGGAAATGCTGAGGGACTAGAGACAGTTAAACTGGGAACCTTGTTTCAGAAAGTGGAAGCAGAATGAGAGAATAAACAGGAAGGGGGAAGGCTGGAGATGAGACGGCCGGTGTGGACGCTGCTAACAGTCCAGACAAGAGATGCCTTAACTGGAGCCGCAGCAATGGTGATGGAGAGGGGCAGCAGCTTTAGAGACCACAGCAGGCCATCAAAGACCGACTAGACACAGGAAGTAAGAATGTGCCACTGAGGACTCCAGAGACCCCAGCGAGGTAACCTACTGGCTGTTGATGCCAGTAACCAAGAGTACATACAAAGGAGGAACAGATGTGGGGTTGAGGAGGGTGACAGAAACATATACTCATTTTAGTGCACGGGTGTGGAGGCTGCAAGCACACAGGTAAAAGCCACCGGAGGGGGTGAGCCTGCTGAAGAGGAGAAGAGAGAGCTGAAAATGAGATCCTAGGGAGAAGGACAATTACACCGCATCACACTGACCATGAACCACTGGGCTCTGTGCGAGGCCCACTGGGAATCAGCAAAACACAAGACACATCCTGTTAATGCAGCAAGTGTTACATGTAAAAAAAAATACATGAAAAAAACATGATCAGAATACAGTAAGGAGGAGACTATGTTTACTAGAGGTGAACTAGTGTCTTCAGGTTTGGTGGTGTAAGAAGACCTAAGAAGTGGGTGCTGAGGCAGAGTAAGGCTGTGGGACCTTGAGTGCCACTGAAAAAGATTTTGTACGCAGGAACATATGACCAGATCTATCAAACTGACAGTGTTTTCTTTGCATAAGCAGAACTAGAACAATACAGTTATCATAAACATTTAATAACATGGATTCTGATACCAAAACAACCTTCCATCACCCTTCTTGCTAAAATTGAGAATAACCAGCACCAACAGTAAATATAGTCAGTTATAGAAAATAAAGCATGCGGCACCTCAGGTGGCGGCAGTCTAACTCTGCAAGCCTCGATACTTAGACAAACTTGAGTCTCTGTGACAGTGATGTCCAACACTGAAAAGAAAACATATCTGTGAACTGTCTGTAATTATTACTGCACCCGATCAAATCAAGAAATTTAGTAACAAAAATTATTTTCAGTGTAATTTTTTCAAGTCAGAAATTAAGAATAGGTTTATTCCACATATGGTAAAAAATCAAATAATCATCACGTAATACTTGACCCTCTGCAGCTGACACATCTCAAAGATGACAGGCTAAGAAACAACAAGGATGTGTGAGTGTGTAGGAAGAGGGGTTCATGGTGGTGGGATTAAAATAAGAAAAATGAGACATCTCAGAAGAAAACCCAGCAAACACCCTGCACAAGTCTGACATCTATTACATGGGAAATATGGAGGCTGCCCTCTTCCCCCAGAGCCCCTACCCCCCATGCTTCTGACCTGAGCAGTCCTTCACTAGCAAACATCAAGTCCACTGGCAGATATATTCCAGATGTTCTAGAATCCTGCAGTGCCTACCTTGCTGGATGCAATTAAAATGGACAGGTAGCAAGTCAGGAGAGTGGTGATCTTGGGAAGGGGCCGTGCCTAGAAGGAAGCCTGAGGGGTTTTGGGGTACATACTGCTGTTTATTGATCTGAGAATTGGTTACAAGAATATGTTGTTTGTGAAGATCCAATGAGCCATCATCTTATAATCTGTATGTTTCTCTGCAGTATGCTGCATTTCAGTAATAACTAAAACGTTTCAACACAAGAGTGAGTCGTTTTGTTCTCGAAACTGTTGTCTTCCGTCCCTGATACCTGTAGTCCCAAGTGGTGTGTGGGGCTGAAACAATTTGTATCATGAGCCAGTGGCTGGTGTGAGGGCATGGGGACTGCCAGTGCACAACCTGAACACAGCCCAGTGCAAATGGCAGCCACGCTCCATCTGCAAGGTCACTCAGATCAAACAGCTGCGCAAACTACCCTGACTGGTTGTGTACCGTGAGCTCAGGGTTTCCCTGTCCATTACTCTGCACTATCGGTTAGGAAACCACTGGCCTTCAACCCAACCCTGCCTCCCAGTGAGAGATTAGATTAGAGCAAACCCTAAACTAGAAACTGCTGTAGATCTGTGTTCCTTCAAACAAGCTTTTCTTTTTTATTTTCTCCCAAGGAGAAAAAGAGTTGTGCTCTTAAAAGAAATAAAGCTTTTACTACATCAGTACTAAAGAATTTTAAGATAATTCTGCAAACTAAATATTACGAATGCCTGAAGAATTAAACTCTTTCATAGTCATACTTTTATCCGAGTAGAGAAAATGAAGATGTAGTTTTCTTTGCAATTAAGATGAGTGAATTTTTTCTCAGATAGGTAGGATATATATTTTGAACCACACGGCAGTTCTCTGGTGGAAATTCTGAGTACAATAATATCTGATAACTCAGACATAACCTAACCACCAAAACTTTAACAACCCAACAATTTGGAACACTGGTGTTTTTTTTTTAAGTAATTGTTAATTAATGTTTTATCTACTGACATGGACAATTTTTACTTACCAATAGCACTTTGTTTTCCCAGCTGAGAAAGAAAATCTCTTCCTTAAAAAAAAATTTATAGGATATGCCATATTAAACTTCATAAATCATGCTTGAAAACATAACTTTTATGTGAAATTATCAAAGCTGAGAAAAATGCTTTAAACTGCAGTTGTTATGCAAAGGAATACCTGGTGACAGCTCAGAGAAAAAAAAACAAACAATGGTCAGATCACAATACAAAATTCAGGTCCAACAAAATTGTTCATTTTGCTCCCATGCTTCATGTTTATTTACATTTATTTCTTTTTAAGTGTCAGATACCACATAACAAATTAAAAAGGAAAAGAAGCGTCAGCAAGTCCTTGAATGTAATTCCCAAATAAGGAGGTGACACTTATGTGACACTGGGTTTGTTTGAAATTCCATGGTTGGAGCTATACTTAAGTACCCATTCCCTAAAACACTTGTCTTGGAATTAAAAACAGGTAAGCATAACAGAGGCGATCCAGGCCCTCAGGCCTCGGTAACTGAGACAGAGAGAAAGCTACCTTGTATCAAGAGATGGCCAGTCTGATTCCAGGCTGGAGCAAGTCTCGCTGTGAGTGAATAGGACAGGCAGGTTTGAAGAATTACGGGAATTACTCTCTGAGGTGCCTCCATCTAAAACATTAAAGGGCAAAAACACTGACAAATTTACGGTGATTGGTATGTCGCTATGAACTCAAAGAAAATGCTGAGATTACCACCTTACCAGCTGGGCTAGTCACCACCAGCTAATCAAATTAACTTTTTTAACTTTAAGTTTAAAAAAGTTAAAAGACTCATTGTGAACCCATGAATACTGTCCTGTGCTCATGCCAAGTGCAGCCTGTCTACTCTGCCCATAAGCCTCAACCTAGCAGTGTCTGGGCTAGGACCCCATGCCTTCCTTTGTCTTCTGCCTCACATAGGGAATCAGACCAGGGCTACTTGTAACATTTTCATATTGTTAGTCTAATTCAACATCAGAAACAATTAAATGCGTACAGAACACAGAGGCAACCAGCAGAACATCTCTACTGGTAAGAAGTCCATTTAAAACCAGGATGTTCACTTCTGACCAATGAGGAATCAAAAGGACCAGATGTAACCTTCCACTTGCAACAACTGAAAACCTGGACAAATGGTAGGAAACAGTGACTCACAAGACCCTGGGCATCAGGCAGTGAAGGAGAATGGTCCACAAGAGCAGGGAAGCAAATAAGGTGAGGCCTGTGACACCCCAGCTCCCAGCTGGGGAGAGGGTTTCCAGGCTGTGGTGCAGGAACGGGGTCCAGATGCCCAGTTTGAGCTAAGGAGGCAGAGCTGAAGGTCCAGGGAGGCTGGGGGAGCTGGAGTTTTCAGGGCAGAGTCTTGGAAAGCAGAGCACAGCATGAAGCAGTAAAGCTGGAGATCCACCTGCGTGCAAGCTGAGGTAGGCTGCCAGGGCCATGGATGCTGGCAGCAAACCCAAGACTCCTGGTCAGAGGCTGAGGCCTTTATTAATCGACCACAGCAGGCAGCCTGCATTTATGTTTGAACCAATTCCCTCCGACTGCTTCATTCCATAGGAATGATGTGGAACAGACCCAGGTGGGAAAATAACCGTTACTAAGGTAGATGGTTTGCCTGCTAACCAGACGGCTGGCGGTTCAAACCCACCAGCCACTCCTCGGAAGGAAGGTTGGGCAATCCTACTTCCGTAGTGATACTGCCTCGGAAACCCAAGGAGGGGTCGCTATGAGTCGGGGCCGACTCGACGGCACATAACAACAACAACAACAACAAGGTAGATGGTATCATCATTTATACCTGAAGAACCCCAAGCAATCCAGCAAAGACAAACCTGTACCCCAGAGGGAGACATTATCTTCACTGTACTGGACAGGGGCAAAACCTGTCCTCTAATCTGCAGGCAGACACTATAGCTTCCAAGACTGTCCACTGTACAAAGATCCCTGAAAACACAGTACAGAAGAAAAGGCTGCCATTGCCTCTGGTTGCTTCCGTTAGCAGAAGAGTGGATGACCATGGGGAACTGTCTTTCAACATCACCCACCCGCATTTCTGTACTGTTTCGGCTTCTGGTGAAATTTTCCCAGGATGTACCATCCACCATGCTGACTGATCGGTCCACCAGGGACTAGGACCAATTCTGTTCAATCTGTCTCATAGAGAATTTAATCAAGGCTGTTATCAATGGGACTCCAAGTGGTAGGAAGAAGTTAACCTGCAGTGCTGACCTCAAATTTGCCTCCCACATCCCAGACCCAACCAGCTGAACCAATCATAAACCAGCAGGGTCAACCTTAGAAAGCTATGGGGCTCTCCCCTTATGTTTCTACACTGACTTTCCCACATGGCTGAGGCATTCATCCAGATACAGCATATGCTTCCACACAGATTTAGCCTTGGCAGGCAAGGAGAAAGTCTGGGAAGTCCCATCATCCATCACAATACTGGCCAGTGGCCTGAATGCCCCCACGGTCAAGGCAGCATCACTTATCACTTCAGCTAACATCAGGGCCCATTCTGTACTACCCTTCTATCTGGATGGCAGGAAACATTGCCTGCAGGGTATGCACAGAAAAAAAATCAACTATCCATCCAGGGTGCTCCCCCAAGTAACCAAGGGAGCTTCATATATAGAGAGAGATCTGCAGTGCAGTCATCTGAAGGCTACTGATAAGATGGCACCAAGAAACAGACAAATCTACAGTTACAGACAGATTTCAATGCAAGTAGGACATAAGCAAGACTATGATACACCTGAATAACACTATCAACCAACTTGACCTGACATTTACAGAGCACTCCACCCAACAACAGCAGAAAACACATTTTTTCAAATGGACAAAGAACACTTACTAAGACCATTATTTGAGGCCTAAAACAAGATTGAATAAATTTTACAAGATTCAAGATATACAAAACGTGTTCTTTAACCACAATGGAATTGAACTGGAAATCAGTAACAGAAAGATCCTTGGAAAACTTCCAAGTATTTGGAAACAACCTAACTATTCTCAATAACTCATCAATCAAAGAAGAAATCAAAGGGGAATTAGCCACAACCCTTCCTTGTGACTTCCAAAGAATACTGTTTCCCCACAGACTCTGACTGGTGGCTAAAACCAATTTTCAAGTTAGTCAAAGATTTCTCAGGAAACTAGAAGTCATCTCTTGGCATTACTGAAAGCTCATTGCCATCCTGGAAGCTAAAGAAGGCATCCAGTCTTAGAGCTGAGTGGAAGCCTCATAATCCTGCACACCGTGAGATCCTGGAAGACAGGCCAGCAGGAATGCCTGATCAGGGGCCAAAACGCAGTGACACAGTGCCTCGGGGGGGAGGGTCCATGCACAGCAGAGAGCAAGCACTAGCCAAGACTCTATGACTTTTTTAACTGATACATGGAGAGGTGCTCAACCCTACATGTCAATTTTCCTCCTCATCAAGATCCAGAAGCTCATCACCAAGTAGAACACAATCTATAATGTTTTGTTCCTTTCCTCATTAGCTACACAGTTGTGGACAATAATTTTACCTCTCTGGATTCCAGACTCTTTATCTGTAAAAATGGGAGATTCGTTCTCTGAAGAGTCTATTATAAATGAAATTACATAAAATGCCTGCAAGGAAGTATCCAACAAAAATCAAGCCTTCCCTTTCTATACTAAATGTACACAAAAATAATTGTTTGGAAAAAGATGTTGGGTTAATTCACATGCACATTAATAAGTTACGAGACATACACTCCCTATTTCAGATGGTGACAACAGAGGTGGATTCAAAATCTTTACAAACAACATCTGAAAAAAATCTTCTTAAAAACTTACCCTAGCTCCATGTTTTTCCATATAGGCATTCAGCTTTCCAGCTTTATAAAATGGTATCTACAACAAAAATCCACAATCATAAAAAAGACTTAGCATAAATAGATTACGAAATAACACAACAGTATACAGCAGAGAGCACAGACTCAGGCCCTCATCCTAAGAGCTTCTGTGCCTTGTAGACCCACGTAAGACCCACCATCTCCTGATGTGGAGGCCATGGATTCAGTCTCCACGTGAGGAGAGCCTTTCTGAGAGCAACAGGAGCCCAGAGACTGTCTACAGGAAAAGGCCAATCAGTTCTCATAATAAACATTTCATGCTTTTCACACACACAAGAAATTCTTAGACATGTATAAGAAAAACTGATGTAAATGGAAGATCAAAGAAGTTCAAAAGGCCAAGTACTAATTAAAGAAATACAAATTAAAAACAAGATATCATAACAGATTGCCAGATATGACAACAACAACAAAAGCTATTAATATTAAAAGTGTTCATGAAGGTGTGGAAAAATAGATTCTTTCATACACTATTCATTAAAATGTAATCTAATCTAATCTTTTCAAAGAACAATTTGTTGTTGTTGTTGTTGTTGTTGTTATGTGCTGTCGAGTCGACCCCCGACTCACAGCAACCCCTCCTTGGGTTTCCGAGGCAGTATCACTACAGAAGTAGGATTGCCCAACCTTCCTTCCGAGGAGCGGCTGGTGGGTTTGAACCACCAGCCTTCTGGTGAGCAGTCAAGTGCTTTAACCACTATGCTACTAGAACTCCTAAGAACAATTTAGCACTATCTAAATTACGTTAAAATGTGCTGCAATTCCACTTCTAAGATTTCAACCCATAGAAACTACCAGACAAGTACAAAAAGATATAATTTCAATGATCCTTTCTGAAGCACGTAACAGCACAAAACTAGATATTCAGATGTGCACTAGGAAAGTTCTACACAAATTATTATACACCCAAACAATGAAATATTTTGCAGTCTTAAAATGCAAAGGAGCTTTGTGGCCATGGAAAGATGTCCAGGAGAGACTGTAAAAGGAGAAGTAACAGGCAAGTTTGAAAATAGTACATATAGTAACATCATTTCCTGCTTTATATACTTTTGTAATTTTTTTTTTTTACAAGCAACTACTACCTTTGTAAAAAAAAAATGTTTAAAAATAGAGGGCTACTTTCCTTTTATTAATATTCTTGCTGAGATTAGGATACTGGAATTTATTATAATTCTAAAATGATGTCCTTCTTGTTCCACAGGATTTTAAGGTAGAAGACACAAATAAGAGGTATTAGTGTCTACTTCTTCACCAACAGCTTGTCCTTCTTAAATATTATACTAAGGAAAGAACAGGAACTCTGGTAGCATAGTGCCTAAGGTACTTGGCTGCTACCCGGAAGGCTGGAAGTTCAAACCCACCAGCCCCTCCTTGGAAGGAAGATGGGGCAATCTACTTCCTGTAGTGATACTGCCTCGGAAACCCAAAGAGGGGTCCTAAGGGCACATAACAACAACACAACAACAAGGAAAGAACAATTAAAGATGGATAGATAACAAAGTCCTAGAAGAAAAACAAAAGAACTGAAGACTTTGGATGGCTTATCAGCATTGCTAATAAGGGCTGATTTCACTGGCTTCTGGGGAATTAACATGGCAGGAAAACCGAATTTTCAGGATGTTTGAAAAGATCTCAGGACTACAGAATTTTTAGAAAGATTTTTGGCATTTCATTATCATTCTCAGTTACGTAAAGCACTGGGAAAATGTTTCTTATTTTAATATAACCAAGTATAAATGCTTTAAAAAAATAAAATCTTCACATTAAAAAAAACATATATTGCTCTAAGTTCTTTATAAATGTTAGATGTTGATTAGAATGAGAAATTTCTCCCTGTACATTAAATGCAATTCAAAAGAATAAAATGAGAAAAAAATATTAAGCCTGTTACTCCAATATGTTTTATTCATTAATAATAGTCTTTATCTTGGATTTATGACAGAAAACGAAATATTAAGTGGCAACCATGAAAACGAATTTAAACATCAGACATAGCAAAGTCAGTCTGTTAATGGTTCAATCAAACTATAACCGCATAGTTTCTCCTCACGAACCCTCTTCAGTTTCAGCTCTATTTTGTATCTGAGTTGGTGTTAATTGATATTTCTCCTGATAATTACTCATGTTTCACAAAATACTGAAAGTAATACTAACCGCCATCACCACCCAGATCTGGTTTAGAATTCCAGGCACAGGTGCAGTAAGAACATCCTGGTGCATAAAGAGCAATTTCCTATGGAGATGAGATGGAAAACACGTAGTCATTTAAGTCAGTATTTATGAAGAATCTTTACTAATATAGGCAAATGGGAAATGGAAAATGGATGTGCAGAAAACTATAAGCACAGCAGGCTCTCCATTCCCACTGTAACAATTTGTCAGGGAACTGGCCAAAATGGGAGGGGTGTTTACCCCCTGGCCTGTGGAGTTACGAATGACTTTTGTTCTTTGGGTTTTTTGCTTTTTTCTGAATTTTGTATATGATCATGTATTGCTTTTATGATCTTGGGAAAATGATTGATGTAACTGTAAAGGGAAGTTATGAACACAGGGTACGACAACAGAAAAGGCTTTGGATGTTAAGAGATTAAAACAGGACTCAAAAGTTATACGCTTACCACCATTTAAAAATAGAGATAAAATACAAGAAATGGTATTAAAATGCTAAGTCATTCTGTCAGAATGGTGGGGTGTTATAGGTGATTTTTGGTTTTTTGCCTTCTAAATATACCACAAGTTTTTATTCAGCTGAATTTCAGTGAGGAAAAAGTGATACAAGGCAAGGAGCATTAAAAATGTATTGATAATGGTTCTTAAAGCTCCAACCTCAGGCCTTTATGTGACATAGAGAAAAGGTATAGATAAGACTCTAGAAATATCAAACTCAGTATTGATCATTCTGCCATCTATGGTGTCACTTTTTTTAAGTCTTAAGGTTTCCTAGCTAATTTAGTATTTCAAAAGGGGTCTAATGTAAGTCTTCAAGAGGTATCAGATTAAAAGTTAACACCAAGGGTGCACTCCTGGATAGGGTGCTGCCCTTGGGTGTGAAGTATACAATGAGGAGAAGAAAAGTGTCATAAAAAAGAGAAAAATGCAAGACACCCAACAGTGTCTTCCTTCTATGGCCCCTAGCAATCTTAGGTTTGTTCTCGAAGAAATTCACTTTCAGATTTAAAGTTGCTCTGTATTCTGGGAGTCCTTCCCTGATGCCTCAAACAGTTAAAGGGACTAATAGGAGTTCCTCACTGCTCATAGTTACACTTTAGGCTTCAACTAGCTGTTTTTCAGAATATTGTGGGGCAGAAATTTCAAGGCAGTTCTTGGAAACACACTCTTCAGTGAAGATCAAAAAACTGTACTAATCTAAAATGTTTATAGCATCTCCTAAAGAGCCCCATAAGCAATAGATATTCAATAAATATTTATTAATTAGTATCTCTAAACTTTTGGGAGCCTAATTTAATTCATCAATGCCTGTATAATTTTTAATTAAAAATAAATTAAAATTATAAATACAAAAACTCAACCCTAACATACTTCCATCTTGAGCATTTTAAGTTCCTCCCTAAATGTAATCCAGTATGCCTGGTAAGAACAGGATTGGATTCCTTCATCTTAAATTAAATGTATAGATTGAGTGAATGGGTACTTTCTTTAAAATAGACACTTTTTTAAATAAATAAATATTTCATTGTGTTTAAGGGGAAAGACACAACAAATTAGATTCCCATTTAATAATTTCTACATAAATTATTCAGTAATATTGGTTACATTTTTCATAATGTGTCCTTATTTTCATTCATTTCATTCTGGTTGACATTCCCAGTACTGTAATCTCCTTCTCACCTTTGCCTTAGAGTAATTTTTGACCAGTTGGTCTCATACAGATGACTCATACAAGGAGATCATTGCTCATGGGTGATATTCTTTATTTTATGAGCCCATCTGCTATTTAGCTAAAAAGTGACCTGCAGGGGTAAATTAGGTTCAGAGTTTAAAGAGTATCTCAGGGTGACAGTCTCAGAAAGTCTTCCAGTCACAATTAGTCCAGTAAGTCTAGAATTTTTAAGAGTCTGAGTTTTGTTCCACATTTTCCTCCTGTTCTATGAGGACTCATTGAAGGAGATACCTCTAAAATAGCTCTTATGGGTCTCAATTTTTTTAAATTTTTAATTATAAAATGCATTTTACCTGCACATCTTTCTTTGTTGAGTCCTAATCTCAGTGTCTGCAACATCATTGCTAAGTATTATCCTGACAGCACAGAGTTTGTGCAAATCTGGAAGAGTGATGAAGAACAGAGACTGCTGTCTAGAATCACTCATGTTTCTGGTGGAGGAGTGTCCCAGCAAACAACCAGGCCTTCAAAAACAAACAAACAGCAATGAAGAGTAACAGACTGCCTTATCAGTAGGGTTTCAATACCAATCCAGCACATAATTTTTAGAATAATAAAAAAGTAGCAAATATCAGCAACTAAATATCACTATTTACATCAGCTCTTCTATACCATAGAGTAATCTAAGTAAAGATAATACAAAACCGCTGTTTATTATTCTGCTGTTGGCGAACAACATTGAACATACCATAGAGGACCAAATGAATGAACAAATCAGTCTTAGAAGAAATACAAGTAGAATACTCTTTGGAAGCCAGGATGGCAACACTTGACTCACTTACTTTGGACATATCCTCAGGAAAGATCAATTGCTAGAGAAAGATAACTTCGTTGGTAAAGTGGAGGTCAGCAAAAACTAGGGAAACCCTCAGAGACGGTCTGATACAATAACCATAGCAATGTTTCTACTATAGTGTGTTTATTTAATAAATTCCTCCTAAATTTCCTGGTGGCACAGGGGTTATGTGCTTGGTTGCTAACCAAAAGTTCGGTGGCTAGAACCCACCAGATGATCTGTAGGAAACAGATACGGCAGTCTGCTTCCATAAAGATTTACAGCCATGGAAATCCTATGGGGGAGTTCTATTCTGTCCAATAGCATTGCTATGAGTTGGAATTGACTCAACAGCAACAGGTTTGGTAAAGTTCCTGCTTATTTTTAAGTTTCATTTTATACTCAGGAACACAAAATATTTCCTATGACAATAATAATTTTTAGAAACATCAAAGTGCATATAGCAAGGTCTTCTGATGATATTGTCTTTCTCTGTAAAGCACTTCAAGGTTGAAGCATATATGTTACATGAAAGAAAATACTGAGATCACAAAATTGTAACCTACTTTCCTTTTCCACTAAATTATCTGGCTTTAAAATTCCTATTTGGGGCATTTTTTAGAGTTGATAATTCACAGGGACATGCATTTGAAGTCTGTATTGTGCATTACTGAAAATAAAGAATGTAAAAGTAAAGCAATTTAAGGTCAAGTTCTGCAATGTGAACAATTAACATTATGGTAAAGTAACTTAGACTCTGATACTTTAAACTATTTAACATCCACATACTTCCTCGCTGTAAGAAGCCAAGTAATCACACATTAACCCAGGAAACTGGCAGGTGCCTGGCCGTAAGTCTAGTCAGTGGCCTTTGGGCTACCATTTGAGGAATGTCGACAATGCCCTTTGGCTCTCAGATGTTTCTCACTCAAGAACCACAGCGTTTGAAATGTTCATCATTAGCAAACCACTTTGTTCTTTAAAAAATGGAAATACTTGCAGAATGATTAACACAAATTCACACAGATGTTAATTATTTCATGTAGATGATTTCTGATGTTACTAAAAGAAACTTTCCCTCTCTGCTTTTCTGCTCTCTCCTATGTAAGTGCTTGCTATGATGACAAGGGACAGGGGGAAAAAACAAGTGGAAAGTCCCAAGGCCAAACAACTTCACAATTTTGCCTAGAATTTACTTGATGTGATTTTTTTTTGTAGAGGGCACCAGGTAGATTACAAAGCAAAAGCATTAATTACAGCTTGGGTCCAGAAGGACAACTGTGCACATTTTAAGGAAAACAGGCCAAACACATGGGTGAAAAGTTTGTAATCCATTACTTTTGTTTCTGAAAAATATTTTCCACTAAGGTTACTTTCTACCTCATTTTCCCTTAAACATCTTAAAGACACGATCAAAATTCCAGGGCACCAAGAAATTCCTGTGAGAAGTCATCTTTTTTTGTCAATCTTCCAACACTCACTGATAAGAAAATTGTATGTAACCAATACTAATCTCTCCAGACACTGGCAATAATTTATTATTATTATTTGTTGTTGTTGTTATGTGCCATCGAGTCGCACGGACTCATAACGACCCCTCCTTGGGTTTCAGAGGCAGTATCACTACCGAAGTAGATTGCCCAACCTTCCTTACGAGGAGTGGCTGGTGGGTTTGTACCATTAGCCTTGTTAGCAGCCAAGTGCCTTAGGCACTATGCTATCAGAGCTCTGATATTATTATTTAGCATTATTTAATTAAAAAAGAAAAATTATAACTGACACACAAATACACAAAACTTCACTGCCATGGAGTTTATTCTGACTCATAGCAATCCCCACTGGATTTCCAAGGCCATAAATCCTTAAGGAAGCAGACTGCCTCATCTGTGTTCCAAAGAGTGGCTGGTGGGTTAGAATCACCCACCTTTTGGTTAGCAGCCAAATGCCTTAACCACTACACCACCAGAGCTCCCTA